GATTTCTTCATTTAGGTCTAAAATAGCTCAAGCAAAGTTTAGTATCATTTACACCAGTAAAATATTCCAAGGTAAAAACAATCCCAAGTCTTTTTTTTGTGCATACTTGTAATAATTTTCTGTAAATTCTAAAATTAAGTGGATCAGAGGCTGACAGTCTGTTTTCATTAAAATATTTAATTTCTATGCAATAAGGCCCAAATCCCAAGCCCACTGAAATGAATTACAGAACTTCCAGTTGCTTCCAGTAAACTAAGATTCAATCCTAAATCAACGTTGCAAAGCTCTGTTGCATTAAATGAGATTGCCTTCTCATAGGCATATCTCTAGATATAAATATAGATAGAAGAACTCCTCACCATGAATCACTTATGTGTATGCAAGGTGGATATATCCTGCACAGAGGAAAACACACAAATGCCCATTCTTGTCTGCAGGAATGGTATGGACACAGGTACAGGTATATGAGCATGTCTGCCCTGGCACACCTGTATGTAAGGACATACATGTTCTTATACACACATACAGGCAAATACATATTCAGATATTCCCTACTAGTACACAAAACTGTGGGCCTGGCTACAGAGAGATGGACACATTCAGTACTTTTTGTCTGTCAGAATGTTTGTTATAACATACCTCAGAAGGTATGTTTTTTTAAACTGGTTCCCATCTTCCTAGATTCATCTGTGCTTTCTCAGGTTGTTCTTTAATCCATACAAGCCCCCTGAATTCTCACATTTTGATACAATTAAACAAATCAACACAGAATGGCTTTCCTCTTCTGGTAGGACTTCTTCTGATTTGGTAGGCCAAGGGGGAAAAGAAAAGAAAAAAAAATACAAGGGAAAATGGGCTTGTTTTCTAAAAGTGAGGAGATTGCAATAAAAAAAAAAAAATATGAGCAAATCATCTCAGATGATGATTCATTGTCACATTTCTCAGTATCTTGTAAAAAAAAATGTTTATAATTTCTGATCTCTAGATTTCCAGCACTTCTATCATCCATCGGTTTATCTTTTACCTTTCTACCTATTTCCTTCCTGCATTATTTTCCTTGAAGCTTTTAACTCCAGTAAATCCCTGCCTTTTAAACTATAAGAGAGAAACGAGCCCCACTCAGAGCAGCTACAGATAAGCATAAAGGTCTCTGGAATTCAGAATCCAATTAGGTAAAATAAGCGTTTGCAGGAAGGTTGCCTCGTGTGGAGCAAAAAGCCTTAGGAGTGTGCCCTCTCGTGGCCGTTCTTTATTCAGCAGGAATACTTGTACCCTCAAATATAATAATTTTCAAAAGAAAATTGTTTAAATTATCCAAAATACATAAGCAACATATCCTTTGGGTTTTTTTCCTCCTGAACTTCAGCTTGGTTGCATAGGGTAGGTATCTTCTGAGAAAATGCATGAATATGTACATACATGTATCCCTCTGCACATCAAAGTTGGCATCACATGATCAAGTCAGTTCACCTTGAATTCTGTATGAAGTAGTACAAAACAGCAGAAGTGGTCTAAATAGCTGGCAGATTTCTCTCTCTTTTTTTTTTTTTTTTTTCTCCCCCTGGAATTTGTCCTGATGATAAACCTTTAGATTTCAGTATTTCCATCCAATAATTCTTATCACCTTCTCAGGGGCTGATGTTAGCAACCCATTTCATTGGTAGTTTAGTTGCCAGGATCAAATTCAGTTGGCAAAATCCCAGACCTGCCTAATAAGCTGTCTACTTAAAATAATAAACGAGTTAGTAGAGTAGTAAATAATAAAAGTATTGAATATCTCTGTTATCAAACCTGTTGGATTTGCTTGTCACAAAATTATATGACCTCTCTCCTCAAAAAACTGTTTTTAAGACTTTGAAGTAACACACAGAACTCTGGCACAGCTACCTTTACAGCAGAACTAATCAAGGTTAGTAATCTTAGTTTGATATGCAAGTAGAAAGTAATTTTCATGTTTTACTTGTAGGAGTGCCAAAGGACAGTAGGGTGCATTTGTAACTTTTGCCCAGTACTCACAGTCATTAGTATTGCAGAGATCTGTCTGGATTTGTTAGCTGTGAAAACTACCTGCCAACTATTTTGCCGATTTCCTGGACATAACTACACCTGTGTTTCAGACAAGTTGCATTTATTTCCCCTCTAATATTCTGAAATCTGTGCTTGTTTGAATTTTGGTCTATTTTAGAAAATAGTCTCAAGCCAGAGCTGCATGCACAGGGTGCTGTTTGTTCATTCACTCAATTTCTTTGTATGTTTGAGAATATGGCTGATGAAAGATGGAAATACTACTTTTTTATAAAGGGAAGTAGTAAATGTGGCATCTGAAAGGCATGGGGTAAGGCTGGTTTATGTCAAGCCATATGAAAAGATACAAGAAGCCTAAAGTCCTATTTTTCTTTTTATACACATTTATTTGAAACAATATGTTTTCTCTCATTTTCATTGATTTCTTATTGCCCTCTATCGAGGCAGAGTGAGTTTGACATTAAAAGCAGGAAACACATTAACCTGGCTGTGAGCAGAACATGTTTATTCTCCTGCTTGGTGTTTAAACTTCTTCATGCTACTCCCAGTTCCCACAGAATGAAAAGTGGAGACTGTCCCTGTGGCTATATTCTATTCCTGTCTCTGTAACTCATACTTCCTATATGACATGTCATTTGCCCTTGTTTTTTGCCTCACTTTCCTTTACAGGAAAAAAATACTGATGAAATATTTGACAGTCAAAACTCCCAGTGTACAAGAGGACAGGATCTCAAGTAGAGCTTAAGTTGTTGCAGCACTGGCACCTGTAAAATGTGGTAGATCCTCTGATGTTAGCAAGTCACCAGATATGAATGGCTGTAGGTAAAGAATATGCTTCACTAATCTGAAGTTACTCCACAGAGCGAATTTATCATTTCCATTATAAGCCCAAACCAGAGCTCGTTTTTTAGGTTGCTAATTATGTCTCCCTTGTCCCAAATCAAAGAGGTATGGAAAGGTAGCAGGTATGGAAAAAACGGACAGAGCAGCCCTCCTGCCTGGGCATCCAGGACCGCCTTAGTATGAAGGAAGAGAACAGTGGCAGGGAGGAGAAAGCATGAGAACACAGTGGATGCCCCTGTTCTGCAGCTCCATAAGTCCTCTTCAAGAAATTTGTCTAGCAGCAGTAGGAGAAGGCTGTGTGAATCCAGCTGAGCGACGTGTCAGTGTTGGTGGCTGGTGGCGGGGGATCGGTGGCGGGATGATTGGCCAGTGTGTGGGCAATGGCTTGGGGTTTGCTGCTCACGTGACCCCAAGAGCCAATGGCTTCGGGAGCCGCCGTTGGAGGGTATTGTACAGAGTAGGCATATATCAAATTCCAAATTCCTTTGTGTCAGAGCTCAGGAGAGACAATAATGTGTTTACAAATGATTGCGACTCGCACAGTGAAGAGAAACCACTGTTCATGCCATATGTGTTCCACTGTGCTCAGAGCGAGCTTCAGAAAACCAGGTGGGGAATCCGACTCATAGATAGCTTAGAGGTTTCCTTGCTTTTATAAATTAATTTCTAAACTAATGTTGAGCTATCCCTGCTTCTAATGACCTCTGGCATTGACAACTTCTTCCTGCTTTCTGAAGTGGAGAGGATGGAAAAACTGAAAAGCCTGAACTCTCATGCTGAAAGAACTGATAATGTGTATATTGACAAGGGCTCCAAAGGCAAGGGCTCCTTGTACAGTTGGAAATCAGACAGCCAGCAGGAATGTCTGCACTTAAAAGCATGCACACTTCTTGTGCATGGCTTCCCTGCAATCAGAACATCTGAGTCAACAGGTTTTCAGGACTGGAAACTCTGAGTGTTGTCTTAATTGTTTATACTGCTGCAGCAAACTTTTAAACAAAAATGCTTGGAGTTCCTTTGCATACTTTGCCTACCATATGCTGTACCAAACAAAACAATGACATTCTTTTAAAACCGTCTTGGCAACAGGAAAAATGCTTTGGCTAGACAGCATCATAAAAAGTTGCTGTTAGTTAGATGATAGACTTATTGCAAGTAACTGCTATTGATGCATGCATTAGCATACTCACATACACTAACAGATATATGTGCAGATGCATACATGTTGAATTAAAATGGGTTCTGGTCCTATTAATGTAGGAACAAGACAGCAAAGTACAACTTTAGAGCTGTTTCCTATGGGCAGTTTATGTGAGCCTTAAGACTTTACTTATTAAATATGTATGTTCTGAGCTCTTACTGCATAAGAGTTAGGGGGAAAAGAACTGTGAAATAGTTCAAAATACACCCTACCAAGGTTTCATTTTTTGGCAGGAGTGTTTTAGGAGTAGAATCTTTTTTCCAGTATGCAGAAGTCTGCATTACAAATTGGATCAGCTACAGCAACTTGTCCCGTTCTATTGAAGTCATCTGACAGTCCCTGCCACTCTTTATTGTCGAAGATGCTGTGTTAAATTAAAAAAAAAAAAAAAAAAAAAAAAGGAAAAACCCACAAAAAAGCCCTTTCACTTCTAAAATCTAAAGCTGCTTCATCTGATTTTCTAACTTCCACTATAATTTTTACATGAAAGGGTTGTTTCTGAAGTAGTTTGCAGTTTACTTTCTGTCTTGATAAACTCCCCAAAAGGCTACAGCCTTTTTTCTTTCACCATGAACTCTGCAATCCAGCCCTTTACTGCAAGTACTCTGGATTTACAGGCAGAGTTTGGAGGACCCTGCTGCAGCCTGACTTTATGTTCAAGACTGGTTAGAGAGCTTCCTCCCTGTGTGACTGACTGTGCTTAGCAAGTGTAATCTGTAGCCAAGACTAAGCCAGAAAAATCAAATTCCTTCAGAGTCCTACCCCCCCATCCCATTCCTCCCTCTCCCTTCCCCCAAGTCTCATCCTACAATCCTGCAGAAAACATTATTGCTGAGGAGAAGAAAATAAGTTAATTGCACTTTTGGCACAAAGGGTATTTTTCAGTATGGGCACAAAGGATATTTTACAGTTTTGTTTTTCAAGCACTCACCTGATTCTGCGAAAGTGATGATTTCTGAGGTTTGCTCCACAACTTCATTCATTTCGGCTCTTCTTCCAACATCATCCTCTATTTCCACATAGCCATCCTCTCCCACCTTTCCCACGTGGAGTTTTTTGATGGCATTTAAAAGTGCTGCCTTGGGCACTGGCTGGGTGATATTAGGTCTGTCCCTCAAGTGCAACATGTTCAGTATGTGCTTCTTTACTGCTTCCACCATCTCAGGCTGTGAGCTGGGCACATCCTTTGAGAGCGTGGCGAGGGCACATGATGGACAGTCAGTGACTGAACTGTGCCCCTCGGATCCTGGGGTTGGGGAACTCCTCACTATAATCCAGCAAAGCACCAACAGTAATCCTCTCTTCCAAAGCAAAGGCATCCTGGCAGCAAAAGTTGTTGTGATTCCCTTTTTAAAAGGCCCTGCTTTTCCTCCCCCTTCACGAACAGTTTTTTTGGGGGCTGGTTTAGTTTGTTTGTTTGTTTGTTTGTTTTTCCTTCTCTTCAGCAAATTCTCTGGAACAAGAACCAAAAGTTTTCTGTGAAGTTTTGTTTGCAGGTTCCCTCTCTGAATGCAATAAGTGCTGTAGATGTTTGTGGCTGTCAGGGAGAAGAGTTCTGACTCTGTCTCAGAGTAGGAGAGAGACACAGAGAGAGGGAGAGAGAGAGAGAGGACGGATTGGCCTAAAGTGAGTGAGTGAATGAGAGAGGGAGGGAGTTTTGTCTGTGAGTAAAGGCTATGATTAGGAAGGGGGAGGAACAGGCAGGCTGGCTTCCTTATGCTCATTGCTCCCCTAACACACACCTCTCTTCAAATATCACTACTCGTGGTTCCTTCCCTCCCCCCCTTTCTAAAATATCTTCTCATTCCTGTAAATTTACTCTTTTTTTTACCTTTTTTTTTTCCTGTGTTTGCACTT